GGTCTTGTTTTTCTTTACAATTTTGAAAAAAGCCTGTCTAGAATTATTTATGGTAACTGCATTTTTACTGTAGGGTGTAAGTTATTGTATTTAGAGACTGCACCTAGATATTGATAATTCTGCTGTGTATTAGGTTTTGCGTCACAGGTCAGGAATCCATTAGGGTCAGTAAAATGGAAAAGTAAAGTGGAAAATGTCCATAATAAAATCCTGGTGCAGAAGATGAAATATTCAATAATTCAATATGAATTACTGTCCAACCAACAGTCCAAAAAAAATGACAATTAATCAACTGTCAAAATAGTTACCAACTGATCGCCTATACATCGTACTCTCTATGTATGTCATTGAAGCACTGTGGCCCAGTGGTTTATAAAGAGTGAACCACCGCTGGGCCCGGTGCAAACAGGTTAAAAGTACAAAGATCAAATCCTAGCTGGAAGTCTGGGTGTAGGTGACGGTGCAATATGTGAAAAAAGATGACACCAACCTGCAGTGCTGACCATGTACTTCCACTTCATCACATACGTATCGCCCTCGTGAAACTGGCCAATGCTCTGGCGTGGCAGGCGGCTGTAGTCGAACTCCAGGATGTGCCACACCTCCACGGCCACTGTGCTGATCTCGTAGCTGCGCCACTCCTCTGCCTCCACCACGCCGTAGCCCCGGCCCACGTTGAACCCGTCCAGTCTGGTGCAGACGAGCCCTTGGTGGAGGGGCAGCATCAGGGTGGCGTCGTATGCGTGGGGCTGATCGGAGGTGGACTGCTCCTGGTGTGAAGATGAAGGACAGAAATAAGAGTGATGGCAGACGGGGACTGAATCTGCATTTGATGCTGTATGTTATCAGACTTTTATGATGCTAAGGTATTTCTTAATACCTTTTGATCAGTGACGTGGTCGTTGGTGTTTTTTATGGGACTGGGAGTTTTCCTGGAGTCGCTCCAGTCTAGGAACTTCTCTTTGAACAAGGTGGTCTCATTGTGTTGAGTCAGCCGGCCGAACACAGCCCAATCGGGTCGCCCCTGACCTTTCCTACAGCACGTCAACGACAAAACACCAGTACTTCAGTCACTGAAGATCCTCTCAGTACACTGTTGAATGTTGAATGACAGATATTACGACCTATTATTACAACTATTTAGACCATCAGTTGCATACTTTGGTATGATTGGGTTGCACTCTCCTGGGTCCAGCGGGTTGATGTCGCAGTTTGTGTAGTCGAAGGTGCCGTTCCACAGGTGCTTGGCCAGCTGGAAGGCCACCTTCCTCTGTGCCAGCGTCACTTCCTTCCCATGCCAAATGTACATCTCGCTGCCAAAGTCAAACACCAAAACCTGCACAGAGACACAGACAGAGACAGTTTTTTTCTTCTAACTCAACAGTACCAGTGGCCGTTGCTGTCTCTCACACCTCCGGTGTGAATGTACATTCATATACAGCTCAACATATTCAAGATAAATGTCAAGTTGTCTGACCTCCTTGGGGTTGAGCAAGGAACAACGGGGCATCTTGGCCCAAAAATCATCATCTGGAACCAGTTTGTCCTCCATCAGGCGGTAAATGCAGTTTGTCTCTACAATGGCACCCTCGTACAGCTCGTCTTCATCTGGCGTTCCTGCAGCTACAAGAAGAAACCAGGGGCATCAACTCATGTTTCATGGTTTCAGGTACTGTTTCATCAAGGTTTAAATTATGTCAGATACACAAATCCTTACACTGAAAACTCGACTGCCCTCCCAGAATCTTCCAGAATTCCTTGGCAGCGTGGCTGTGCGTGCTGACAGCCTCCTCGATGACCTGGACGTAGTTAGCACGGCAACCCAAGTCCCTCTTGCTCTGGATGAAGTTTGCCAACTCTGAAGCCTGAAAGAATTTGAGAAAAACTTCTATTACGTGACACTGATGAGCTGAGTTCATCTGACTCCAAACACACAGATGTCTTGTGCTTTTTAATAAACGGCAGACACAGTTAAGATACGGTTCATGCTTTTTTTAAACCCAAGACCCCGTCATCCTGGCAGTTCAAGTTCATTACACAAAAAAATACAAAGAAGAGTCTGTGAACTTTAATGAACTCAACTAAAACAACACATCAATAATGTGGGCCATGGCTCAGAACTTTCCTTTTTATCTGATTGAGGTCAGTGCTCTGTTCAGCCAATCAAAGGTCATCAGACCGGTCTAAGCTTTGAACAATAGCTTTGTATTGTGTCTGTTTCCTGCAACAACCCTCAAACACACACACACACACACAGAGAGACACACACACACACAGACACACACACACACACACAAACAAGCCCTTTCCTTTCTGTCAACACACACGTCTTCCTGTGCTGTGCCACCGTTGCTTCCTGCCAGGGCTGTGTTTACATCCTGCACGTGAAGTCCCGCCCTACATAACAGCACCCTCGCTCCACCTGTATGGATGTGCCTGTCTACCCAGTTTTCCAGCACTCAAAAAGCCAGACCTTGTTCTTCTCGATGACGTTGGCAAACTCTCCGATCCAGATGAAGCAGTGGTGTGGTGTGATGAGCAGGAAACAGTCGCCGCTGTTCAGGGAGGACGCTCTGGGCTCCACCAGCCTGGTCTGCACGTGCCGTCGGCCTGGCGTTGCATAGGCAGGAAAAATAAAACACGCAGACATGTGGCTTATCAGTGACAGCTCTGATTATCGATGTCAGCATGCCTGGATTATCATGCTAGCCAACCATTTGACCCTAGACATGTATGTACATGCATGTGTACCCACCCCTTCCTATTAAAACCATGTCGTTCCAACCATTTAATGCAGCCGGAACAGTATGCAATCTACATCAAGTCATAAATTACAAACTCCAGGGGCCTCAGTGACTCTCCATGTGACCCACGTAGAAGTCAGTTGCAGCTATTCTAACGCACCACTCTCAACACTGTCAGGTTGGGACAGCTAACCTCCTAACAAAGCGGTACCCCTGGTCTAGTGGATTTGCTCTGGATTACACACAGTGGGGTTTCGAAGAGAGGATCAGCCCAGGATAGTGCGAGGTGACCAGGGGAGAATGATTTAGAGCCACAGCTGTCACCAGCAGACGCTTGGAGGAGGTGCATAGACACTGAAATAGACCAACTCTCGTCTCCCATTTTAGATATCCTCTGGAAAGGACACCCTTGAAGCAGCATCCTCCATAGTTTGTGTAGAACAGAAGCTATTTGTTTTTCCATCCACTTAAACTACTGAATGTAACTGCCTCACAAACAAGAAAATTTAAGAGAATGTAAATGGATGTATTCCTTTCTTCTTGTGTAAGAAAACTAATAATAGATGAAAAACTGAAGTGCAGGTGCACCTGTTTGTGTATGGTCAGAGCAGCTTGTTCACTCAACTGACCTTTGACCTGTAAGAGCATGAGTTTCTTGTAAGGCACAGCGCTGTTGTTGGACATCTGCTCAGAGATGTTGACGCTGCGCAGGTTGATGTTACTGAAGTTCTCTTTGCTGGCCAGACCAGCCAGAGCCACATCAGAGAAACCAGAGTTCTTATTCACTGCAGTGAACAGAACAGAGCACAGAGAGGGGACATGAGATAAACAGAAACAGATTTAACGCACAGTTTAACAGTCAATTATTACATTTAGCCCCTATGCAGATGAGACTACATTGTAAACAACCTCTGAAGCTCGAAACTGAAGGTCTCTAAATGACTGCAACAAATATAGAACACTCTAGAGACAGTTCAAGTGTTTTTATTGCTGTCAGAGGAGATGAAGGAGGAAGTTATGGAAGTAACATGACATTGACTTTGTGTCCAGCTGACAAATCACACTGAGCTATTGAGGACTGCTCTGTACAATGCCAGGAAACGGACTCCAGTCCCAGATGTAGGTCAGTATAAGTCCAGAAGAAGCTCGAATGGGTTGATAAACAGCATTGGAAAACAATTTATGGACTGTATAATATCAGTGAAGATTTATTTTGTATCTGAGATTGAGATGTATGTTCTGCTGTCTCTTATTTTGCAGTTGAAGTAGGAGCCTTCCACTGCATTCACTGGATAGGTGAAAGCATATTGCCAATATTACAAAGACAAGACAAAAGCAGACATCCATTGCACTTGGCAATTACAACAATTACATCTTTTTAAAAAAAAGGTAGATGTGTTCATCATTGCATTTCTGCAGGGGTGCATCTGTACAAGCTCACACCGTTCACACCTTCAGGGACTTTTCACAACGCAGCACAGTGTGACAGAACAGTGAAAACAAGAAGACAGACAAACATGCAGTGCAGTTTATTTTAAAATCACCCATGTGACTGGCCAAGATTGGACACCGGTTATTAAAAAAAAAATTACAAACTGGACTGGACTAAATTCAAGAGATTGATTATGTACAGATTTCTCTTGAAAACATTCAAAGTTTAATATTGTAACATCAAGAGTTATTGTGCAAATTTAGAACAAATTTTGACAAGTGTCCCTGAGTGTTTTGGTCTACACAGTTCCAGCTGCTCATCCATCCTCACTCACTCTTCTCAGCCTTCATCCTCTTGCTCTCCAGCAGGCCGATGTTGAGCCTCTGCTCTGTGTACTCGTGTCTGATGTCCTCCCTGGCAGCCAGCATCTTCAGAGGGTTCCTAGAAGCCTGGACGTTACGCGCTGGGCGCACCGCCCGCTTGTGCTGCACCATCTCCGAGGGCAGCCTGGAGGGAGGATAGAGGTGAGAGGTGTTAGGTCAACAGGTAAAAATTAAAATCTCACGAGGATTATTTAGTCAGAGTTGTTAGTTGATGACATCTTGCAGTGAGAGCTTACTTTGGCACCTGGGGACCGAAGATGGCATCGAAGTCGTCGTCTATCTTCACCTTATTGGTGATGACGGGAATCTCCTCCACTTGGCGGTAGAACTTGGAAAAGGTTTCATCTTCGAGGGTCATTACCTCCTTTACCTTCTTCTCTGTTACTGTGATGGTGGTTTCTGGCAGTCCAGACACTGAGGAAAGACAAGACGAAGCCGTGTCAGGATCAAACAATGTATGAAAGTATGAAAGTAGTAAGTTGTGCTTATTTATGAATACAATACAAGTCTTTTTGTCCATTCTATTCATTTTTGATACTATTTATTATTATATTGAATGGCAGGGTGCGACTTTTTCTGCACTAAACTGAAAATGGCAACAAACGCAAAAAAGGACCAACAGGAAATGATAAATGTACTGGATGAGATGTGGAAAACAAAAGCTGGTTTCATGTAATGTGACTTCTTTTTTTGACCGTCTTTATTAAAACAACATGGCATGATGAGTCCACATTTTGTTTGGTTGCACTGTAAGCAGATACACATTTATTTTTTTTAGATATATTTATTCTATTTGACTATTTCTAGTAGACCAGAGATGAGAAGAGAGAGAAAGAGACGAGGAATGGCTTGTATCAAGAGTTCTTGGCGGGAGTTGAACATGGAGATGTTGTAATCACAGTATATACAGTTTATGTCCATAAGCACCTCAATAGCAGTCAGTTAAAATTCCATATTTAAACATCAAGACATTAAAGCTGCAGTAGGTAACTTTTATAAAAATAACTTTTTGTTGTAATGATGAATTTTAACTCACTGCTGTTAAGATGCAGCATATATACCGTGATTACAACATCTCCAGTTTGATTCATGGCGAGAACCTTTGATACAAGCCATTCCTCTGTCTCTCTCTGTCCCCTCAGTTCCTGTCATCTCTACTTTAAGTTGGGACTCTAGTTTAATCCTTATTTGCTCACACAAAGTGTTTTACTAAAAATGTATTCTTTCAGTTGGCATGGATTAAAATATAGGTAGGCTTATCATTGTGGCTGTAAAAACGTTGGAGTAAAGTTGTTCTTTTATTTCATCTTTTGTGCCCCACACGGCAATTACAGACTGATTTGACATGAGAACAACCTTCTCAATAACTGAAAACTAAGCCATTCGCAGTGTTTCATGGTTTAGCTTTTTTTCCTGTTGTGCATAAGAGATGATGATTAAGGCTGAACAGGACATTTAACCTCTCTTTGTGCATATTTAACCTTGCGCTGCTGAAGCCTTTAAACGCAACTGCCTTTAACTGAGACTTGTTTGAAGTGATACTGTAATCTGACTGCTGTAAAAATAGTGCTTATCCAAACATGAGACTGACATGTTAAATTACATCATGAGGTCCATGTCTATCAAAACAAGCTTGCTGCTACCAACGGTAACCACAGGTGTCACTGAATGCCTGAAATATGTACCTGGAAATAACACCAACAGAAGCTCTCATCAAATTAAATTTAGTGAAGTAGACAGAGAATGCTGAATTTATTCGTGAAGTTTTGTCTCAATCAGATAGGAATGAGATTCAACTTCTTGTGTGAACCTATAATTGATTGCAGGGTTATGAAGTGGGACCGTTTTCCCGTCGTGAAAGGTCTGATTCTATGCTCAGTGGCTTGTACAGCATGGCGAACAAGACTGACCTTTACTGTTGAGCTTGCCAAGGAATGACTCCAGTTTATCCAGCTTCATGTCCGACTCCAGGTTCAGATCTGGCACGGCCTTGATCTCTGCACACAGACACAGACACACAC